GAAAATGGGCGTGGCGACGCCCACTTATGGACCAAAAACCATATCTCAGGAAGTACTCTACCGATTTCAATAAAATTCGGTATGTAATATTTTCTTAACACCCTGATGACACGTGCGAAATATGGGTGAAATCGGTTCACAACCACGCCTTCTTCCAATAGAACGCTATTTTGAATTTCATCTGATGCCTTCTCTGTATAATATATACATTAGGAACCAATGATGATAGCGGAATAAAACTTTACACAAATACGCTATTTGAGCTGAGGTATCCCTTGTGGAAAAATTGTCGTGATCGGACTATAACTTTTCAATGCAATTAAAATAAATGAAAATACAATTCAATACTCAAAGTACACAAATTGATCTAATCTAATTAATTTACAGCAAAATAAAAAAATATGTAAATGACGGATAATGAAATCTCGATTATCACTTTATCATGCGAGAGTATAAAATGTTCAGTGACACCCGAACTTAGCTCTTTCTTACTTGTTTTCTATGGATCTCCTTTAAAACCTCAGTTAGCCGCACTGTCCAATAAAAGGGAAATCAATTTAGAACGAAGAATGAAATGATGCTTCATGATAGTGTTTCCAACTTTCTGTTTAATTTTGGGAATATCTATTATTATATGGTATACTCCTTAATTGTAAATGTTTTATAGTTCTTCTACTTAAAGGCGAACTTCAAGGTGCCAAGTTTTCTTTCGGTCAACAAGCATTCGAACTCAGATTGCACATAATACAGGAAAACATTTTCAAAGAGTTGAAAATTTTTGAGTATAGTTTGACCATTAAAAATCGTCTCATAAAAACTCCTTGTTAGTTCGAAGTTTGCTTAAAATTTGAAATAGTTAATTTAAAAGTTTTCAGAAGTATCTAGTTTGGAATATTTCAATAAACTAATTTTCCAACTTTTCTTGACCTTAAAGTTACAGACTTCTAAAGTTTAGCCACACAGAACAAACAGCCCTATTAGTTCTTTTCAAAGCTACATTTTTAAAATTTGCTTAAGTTATTCCCCAGAGAAAAACGAACGGATGCCATTTGTCAGTTTTTAAATTATTTCGACGGTATTTTATTATACGGACAATAACTTCGACTAGAGATTTTTTTTTAGATTTCCTCCACGGAAAGGCCAGGATCGCTGCAGGAGTGGAAGACCTTTGCTTAGCGCCGTCAGGGAGTGCGGGTAACTCGAACTTTGTTTCCTTTTTTCTTTAAAATTTTAACAGTTTTAAAGAATAAGTATTTTTAAATGAACTTTTGAGATTTTAAAGCAATTGATGTTGTACAACTTATCTGTTTCAAATTCTGCCAAAAATACTAATTTTTATCTGTTTTATGCTTGTAAATTTGTCAAGAAAAGTTATACTGGTTCGTTCTTCTAATTTTCTAATTTTTAGCTTCAGAAAACACTCAGGATTATTCACGTATGCTGGACTCATTTCGTATTTGAATATCATCATTTAATAGTAACTCTTTTAGTAATTATGATAAAACTTAGCCTATTTATTTCAAAAACGTTTGTGTGTTATATTTGCCGTAAAACTGGTTGTAATACTTATATTTAAATGCCACGATTTCAAAGCTGAATAAATTTCAACCCTCATCGAGTTGCTTTTCATTTCGTTTCTTTTACGAGTATTTAATTTTTTTCTTTTTCCCTTGTAACAACGTCATTATCGTTTGTTGTACTATTGTATCTATTATCAGTTTACTAGGTCTGCACAAAGCCTCATCATTTCGAAAAAATAATGAATAGGCCACTTCATAATAGCTGATAACTCTCTTCTAGTAGGTTTCAGCTGCGACTAATAAGCATATAATCTTGGCCTCTTTTGTAAATTATCTTCATTTTACTTTTGCCTTCGCCATACAAATGTGCATCTGTCCTGGAGGAGAGCAAACAATCCTTTGAAAGTTTCGAGACATCTGCTCCCACTTTTCCATATTAACGCACATATTTTAGCACAAAAGCGCAGATACTTATGAATTTCTTAGATTGTTTGCTGCACATAAGCGCAATCCGCATATCCCTCAGTCCCTTGACGCTAAAGTCTGTGGACCCAGTGATGCATTTTAATATATCGTGAAGGAATGCAAGCGAACCTTTCGCATTTAATTGAATAACTTTTCTCTGCTCTCTGTGTGTGTCTTTTATGTGTCACATACTCGCGTGCGCCCGGTGACGGCGTCTCGCTTCAACGCCTTGCGCGGGTCATGCGAACGCTTTTCAGGCAACTTCTTGATGCTGAGCAAACATAAACGGGGTCATTGCCTCATTACATTCGCTATTTAACTTATTACAACAATAAATTGCCAGCGCTATTGAATTTGGCAACAGTGAAGTGGCGGGTGAGCGATGGTGGGGCCGGCAAGTTGACGGTGACGATGACGAAGTGGAAACTGAAAACTCGCATGGCAAGCAGAGGCACATACAAACGTATAAATATTGTGGCGGGTGGCAGCGATTGCAGCCAAAGAAGCTGCTTTTGTTGTTGTTGTCGTGGTGCTTCATGCAAAATTAACGCATTCATTCATGCATTTCGGTCGGGTGACGCCGCACAATACAAACACACTCCCGCGCTCACATGCATTTGTGTGTGCATTCAAGCATTTACATGTGTGTGTGTCGTTTCGTAGGTACGTCCTGCACCAAGTCGAGGCCCATCAGCATTTTGCTCTCCCTAAAGTCGCTATTCACCTGCCGCTGCTGCCGTCTCTCGCCGCTTTCAAGTTATTCTTTATTTACATTTGCATTGTTGCAGCTTGCCTTGTATTGCAGGTGCACGCACCCATCCATATGGTAGAACACAGCCATGGAGTAAATCTGAAGTTTGTAAGCCCGTTTTCACTTAACTTCGTCCATTTACGGCATTTGCAATTTAAATGACGGATTTCAGTCATAAATTTTTAAATGACTCGCATTCATCTTATTCGCCACATCACAACAATGCTGCAACTCTTACCATTGCAACAACAAAATGTCGTTTCAGGTACATACATTAATGATGCTGGGTTTCGTAAGCAGTTCGTCAAGGAATTTAAATTCCTGTGAGCTGAAGACTTTAGTAGGAAATAGGTCTATGATCTCCCCTCCACTTTATTAATTTGGCAAGGCAATCCAGAGATTGGATGAAGTTCGCCAATCGACACACCTGCGTCCAGGTTATACATTTTTATTGGGTGTCTATGAACTTCTGGGATATACATGTGTATATATACAGCTCCACCTTCTTTCTCATGGAACTCTTTAATTTTGTGTACCGGAACTTCAGGAAATATATCATCAACTACACAAGTGTTGCAAGTTTTATTACTCCATTGCTGCATTATCTAAGAATACCGATATTGTCTGCGATCTCAAGTTTACACCTCCATTGAATAACGATCTTAAGAAATGTGAGTTTTACGATCCAATCGAACCTTTTCCATGATTTTTAGGAGACTTCTAATAATTATTACCATGGTTAGTCATTTGGTCATTCAGTATAATCCAAAACATTATAGATTTCCTATTTCTTGAAAATCTGATCAGAATTAACTCTCTTCATTAAAGAAAGACTTCTTTTCCGGAAAGTTGGTACGGATTACTCCAATATATTAAATTGTTCTTAACTTCGGGTTCCTCTTTATTTAAGAAACTACTTCAACTAACTCTTTGATATATGCATGAATATGCCCGAACTCCTGAAAGTACAATGTAAATCTAAGTACCCAAGTGTTGCAAGTTTAATTTTTACATTATCATCAGTCATAACTTTATAGCTCCGTTAAACCACAACCATCAATGAATATGAAGTTGAAGATCCAATCCAACTTTATTGGATGTCTCTTGCCGTGTTCTTAATATCGTGAATCGTTTTTCAATGTTTTTAGATCTCAAT